CGGGCGCCTGCGCGGTGCAGCCCCAGCCCGGGCAGCCACCGTCGCGATGCCTATTTTAGTCAAAGCCGCTGCCGGCGCGGGGACCCGGCACCAGCCAAGGAGGCTCCGGACCCGCGATCCGCTGAGGCTTTCGCCTTGGGCGCCCGTCGAGCCTCCGCGTCGCTGTCCCCGCGCCCTGCCACTGTCTCCCCAAACTTTGGCCAGCACCGCCCAGGTTCAGTGCCAGGGACAAGCCAGGTAAGGAGCGGGAGGCGTAGCTGCCGGCGGCTCCCCCCGCGCGCCCGGCTATTTGCAGCCTCAGGCTCCCGGGGCTAAATCGGGAAGCAAAGTTGGACCGCTGCTCCGCTGGGAACAACTTTGTCAGCCCCCGAGGCTGCTGCGGGTTCTCCGCGCCCGGGCCGCCAGGAGCCCGTGCCCTCTCCTCCCTGGTCGAGCCCTCGCGGGGTTCCCTGTTCTTGGAAGCCGCCTTTCTCCCGCGTCAGGGGTCCACCGCCACAGACCCTCAGGTGTCAGCTGTTGCAACACGGGTCTGGCAGCGCCAGCGGTCCCCGGGCGCTCCAGCCCCCTCGGGTGCCGGTTCCCGCGCTCTGCCTCGGGCAAGCCATTGGTGAGCTCGGCATCTCCTCCTCCGACTGGACGCCCGGGGCTCCCGGCCCCTAACCCACTAAAGGCTCCTCCTCGCCCGCTATAGGGCCGCCGGGTCTCCTGCTGAGGCTGCGCGCAGCCGGGCGCACTGTGTGGCCTGCCCCGGCCCGGCGCTGGGATTGCCAGGTCGGGCACGGCGCTCATTGCACACCCCTCGTGGCCCGAGCGTTCGAGTCAAGAGGAACAGTAGACACTGATTCTCCTTTAAAGAGCGAGGTGAGCGGGTTCCCTGGGGAGAACCGATGGCTGGGGAACCCGTGAACCTCGCTACCCGCCCGCGCCCTGGTTTCTGAGGCATTGGGAAACGTGTTGTAGGCCAGACACGTCCCAGAAACTGCTTGCTTTGAAACAATAAGTGCGGGAAGACTCTTGGCAACGTAATACCCTTTGCCATTCCGCGGATGTACAAAGGTTCAGTTCGATTTACAGAATGAATCAAGTCTGCCAGCACGACTTTTGCTCATTGCTGCCTTTTCATTTTTGTAATTTGATGAAGGGTTAATGTTAGTTTCACCATGTAGCTATTTAATCCTACAGACACCTATTTGGAAAGGGATAGATAAACAGGACTTTACCAGAGCAGGTAATTAAAGGAATTAGACTCTGAAGAACTAATAGGAGAAAGAAAATTTCTCTTGATTCAGTCAAAATTAACCTGAACGTTTACCAGTTTTTCAGTCTAGCCTTCCTCCTTAGACTCATTGTGGATATAAGGATAGTTCAGTGTAAACGACTTAAATCCATTAAAAGTGATCAAAGGGAGCCGAAACTAGTAAAATCCAGTCAATATAATTGACAATAGGTAACTGGCATTTCAAAATTGACATAGAGATAAATACACATAGATAAATAATAGACAGATATACAAATAAATAATAAATTATATAATAAATGTATTATACAATGTTAGCTATTCTACAAGCTGTAATACATATAGAAAATAAAATATGTATATAAATACCTATATCTTTAATAAGGTGTGGTGCATCAATATGTTGTAGGATGATCCCACCTTTTAAAAATTTCTATTGCTGGGGCTCCTGGGTGGCTCAGTAGTTAAGCGTCTGCTTTAGGCTCAGGTCATGAGCCCCGCATCGAGCCCCGCATCGAGCCCCGCATCGGGCTCCCTGCTCAGCGGGGAGCCTGCTTCTTCCTCTCCCACTCCCCCTGCTTGTGTTCCCTCTCTCACTGTGTTTCTCTGTCAAATAAATAAATAAAATTAAAAAAAAATTCCTATTGCTATTTCCCTGGTTTTTGTGTCAGTAGATCGTAGTTTTCCTATCATTTCTCTTGGAGCAGAAGTTGGTACCTTTAGTGCCACTTGAAGAACTTTTAAAAGCCTGAAATTGAGCTAGAGTGGATTAGTTGGTAATACAGGTGTAACTGGGTGGATATGAAGGGGAATATGTATTGACTAACTTATTATATAAATGTGTATTAGAGCCTCAAGCTATTAAAACTTGAAGGGGTTTCAAAGACCATCCAGTCCAGCTACTTCTATTCCCGGGAAGAAGCCGACCCAAGGAGCGGAAGTGACTTTCTTTAACTTATGTGGCTCCCCAGGGCTTTTGGTATAGAACTTGACTTTCTTAGTCCCCGCAAACGCTGGGCACTTTCCTGTCTTTACTACTGAGGTTTGGAGAGACTGAAGTGATTTCTAAAAATGTTTGTCATATCTGTGTCCCTTCTGTATGGCTTTCACCTCTGGCATTCTCTGCAGAGTCTAGGCCTTGGGTATACATAGATGAATATGACATCACCTCTGCCTCATAGAGAACACAGGATAGTTAGAAAAGCAAATAGGACAATGGAAGTAGAAGCACATTCTAAAGTGCCATAGAAATGTAGTTATTATTAGTTTAGGTAATGCTAATGCATAAGCTGACATTGACACTAGTTTGTGAGTGATAGAGGACCTTGAATATCATTCTCCCTCCTGCAGAAATTATAGGATTAATTCTCATTTGGTCCTTGAAAGCAAACTTTATAAATGGAATTATTCAAATAATGATACCTCTCACCCCAATAGGCTTATATTTTTATTGATTGAAACATTTGGAAAGTAGTTGAATTTATGTAGTTTCTTTCCTTTTTGCAGAAAATCAATATCTATGTCAACTATTTATCTTTATGAACTATTTCAGAATTATATGAAGAGATATTTAATTGACTCAATCATTTCATTCATAGTTTGTAATGCATGGACTTTTTTTTTTATCATCTTGAGAGATGTAGAATACTTTCAGATTTGTCTAATAACATCCTTTCAAAATGCCCAATCTATACCAATTATTCTACCACCTAAAACCTTTACTTTGATATGATTAAAAAAAAATGAATGGAAAAATAAGGTTAATTGTGTGACCTTATTATGGAAAGACATATTATTAGATTAAATTTAAAGATTTTTTTGGTCCCCATTTGGAATTCTTTTTCTGAAATGGAATAATTCATATAATCTGTAAACCTACGTGTTTTTTTTTGTCAGAGACCAATTTGTATAATTAATAATAGAAAGAGTTTTTTAAGAACCAGAGATAGAGGACAGGTAATTTAGTTAGGAAATGGTGCCACTTTGTGTTAAGGTTTAGGTAAGCATGTGCAAAATGTGTACTCTTTGAAATGTATTTGCTACAGATTTTAATATTAAATAGTTGAATGTATATTCATTACCTCTCCTACATATAAGTAAACCACAAGTTTACTACTTTTTAATTCGTAATGTGCTACCTAGTAGAGTTTTTATGGGAAAGAAAGTAGAGATTTAAATTGGATAATGGAAGGAAGAGTAAATTTTGTATCTCTCTGTGTATATATAAATGATTAGTAATGTATTTATTATGTGTATATATGATAATAGAGAATGTATATACATATGATACAATGATTTAATGACAGTATATAAATAGAGCCTTCTAAATATCCTAAGCCTTCAAATAGTAAATATGAGAGGGTTAATTTTTTTGAAAGTACTTAAAAAATCAGTTTTTCCAATCCTTTTTTCTGTGTTTGGATTCAGTGTCATAGTGAGAATGTGATGGAAGACTGTAATTGCTGTGGTTTATGAACATTGGTGATTGTCTTTTAGACTAGTTAATTTCTCGTTCCTCTTTCCCCCACCATGTATGTTTACTTGCAGATATATATATCAGTGAATAGTTGTGCACTATGCTAAATATTTTATATATTTCATTAGAAAGTCAAATGAGGTATTACTATCATCATTTAACAGATAATAACACTTAATATGTGACTGGTAGGGTTCAAACCTGGGTCTAATTCATAAGCACCAGAAAAGTCTATCTACCAACATTTAGTTCACAGAAATCATTTTGATACAATGCCTATAGGGGTAGTAAGGTACAGCTGCCATTTTTATGATTGTCCTCTTGTTTCTTTGTTTTTACAGGGATTTTCAAGATGAATTATACCGAGTCCAGCCCATTGACAGAATCAACTGCAATAGATTTTACACCTGAGTTAGAAAGTATCATACCTGTGCCTTCCAATGAGACCACATGTCAAAACTGGAGAGAGATACATCACCTAGTTTTTCATGTAGCAAATATTTTTTTCACAATTGGGTTGGTTATTCCAACTACTCTTCACCTTCATATGATACTCCTTAGGGGAATGTTAACTATAGGTAAGAATACCTACCTAATCAAGACGTTTGTAACTTCTCTGGAACTGGCATCAGATAGGCTTTGTGTTGGGGGCTTCAGGGCATTTCTTGTCAGGTCTATAGCATACCAAAAATATAGGTCTCTGTCGGCAAATTAGCAATACGTATATCAGGTAACTTGCAACGTAGGCCTTTACATGCCCTTATTTATTTTAGAGAAGACTGTGTGTTTTCTTTTTTTTTTTTTTTTAAAGATTTTAGTTATTTATTTGACACAGAGAGACAGCCAGAGAGAGAACACAAGCAGGGTAAGTGGGAGAGAGAGAAGCAGGCTTCCCACCGAGCAGGGAGCCTGATGCGGGGCTCGATCCCAGGACCCTGGGATCATGACCTGAGCCAAAGGCAGATGCTTAACGACTGAGCCAACCAGCACCCCATGACTGTGTGTGTTTTCTGTATTGTTTAGATTTTCCAGATATCAAAAACTCCATTTGTATGTAGGAGTGTGTGATCCAAATCCTGGTTCCACCACTTGCTAACTGTGTAACTGAGGCAGGGGATCGAACCTTTCTACCCCTTAGTTTTCCCACGTGTCAAATAAGGGTTAAAATAATACCACCTCCTAGGGTTGTTGTACGAATTAAATGAGTGTGTGTGTGTGTGTGTGTGTATGCACATGTGTATGTATGATATTTGACTTCTAATAGTGCCTGGCACATAGTAAGTACTATCCAGTCTTAACCACTATTATTTAAATAGGCATTTCTTATGGCCTATAATGCAACACTGGGAACAAAAGTAATTTCCCAGACACCACAGTTCAAATAAAACTTTTTTGAGGGCTCCAGTAATCCTGATGAAGCAGGTTAAATTGATTCACATCAAAATGCCAAAACAATTGAATGAATTATTTTAGCCGCTGATTCTTGACAAATTATGCTCTATGTGATTGTTTCTTTGGTGATTTATTTATTCAGGTGCATTTCTGAGCACCTATAATTTGTCAGGCAAAGACTGAAGAAGGCAGTGTCCATCTTTGAAGAAGATACTTTTGAGGGGGGCTGGAGAGAAACAGATGGGCAGTCATGCGTGAGGTGTTGGATGCTGTGATGCAGGTGTGCACCCAGGACCAGGGAGAAATAGGGAGGGTAATAGGCTCAGCAGAAAGGCAGAACAAGGTCACACTGAGGAGATGACATTGGAGCTGGCTTTTGGAAGGGTTTCTCTGTGTGTGAGTGTGTGTGTATCCAGGTAAAAGGCGCAGAGGAGAGGGAAATTCAGCATATTGAGGGAGAATGAAGAGTGACCCATTATGTCTGAAACACATGAAAAATGACAAGGAATGTGCAAAGTAAAGCCTGGAAGTGAGAGACAGGCTTCCAGTTATGGAATGAATAAATTACGGGAATAAAAGGCACAGCGTAGGGAATATAGTCAATGATACTATAATAGTGTTGTGTGGTGACAGACGGTAGCCACGCTTGTGGTGAGCAGAGCATAATGTATTGAGATATTGAATCACTATGTTGTCCATCTGAAACTAATGTAACATTATGCATCAACTATACTCAAAATGAATAAACAGTAGATAGATAAGTAGATAGATAGATAGAATAGGAAGAGGCTGGAAGGGAAGATAGAAGGCAGCTTGTGGGACTTCTGTGTTACCTCTGAGTCAGGTAGGGATTGCAGCAGGCATTACAGTGTTGAATGAAAAACAAAACAAACCCACACCCTATAAAAAGGCAAAGGCTAATTATAAATTTTTCAAGATTTTATTTATTTATTTGAAAGAGAGAGAGTGGGGGCACGCACAGGAGCAAGGGTGGGGGAGGGGCAGAGACAGAGGGAGAAGCGACTCCCCGTTGAGCAGGGAGCTCAAGGCAGGGCTTGATCCCAGGTGCCAGGATTATGACCTGAGCCAAAGGCAGATGCCTAACCGACTGAGCCACCCAGCACGCTGCTAATTATAAATTTTAAGACACAGTTTTAGAGGTAGGACAGACCAAGGAGATCATCTAATCCGACCAAGAAGAAACCTGGAGAAGTTAAATGACTCATCCAAAATTAAGATGGAGAGAATGTGGCCAAACCAGGGCTATAATTCATGTCCTTATGTTCCCAGTCAGTTGAAGCATTATTTTTCCCCTGTCTTCTTTAAGTAATACTATTTTAAAATTCAAAAGAATTTGCTATGAAATATTATTTTAAAAACTTATAAAGTTTTACATTTTGGTCTGCTCAGATGCCCCAGATCATTCTGATGAAATAAAAATTGCAAATGGATAACTTTAATGTGGGAGGTTAGCTTTTATGTGCATGTATGTTGTTGATATATTTGTATCATATTGATAATTTTATTTTAAATTAAAAATGTATATTGACTCTCCCACCAAAAATGGATCAAAAAGAACTGGGATATTTTTCCTAAAGTGAGAGAATTGATAAAAAGCAAGATTTCCATAGGTGAGTGGAAAATCATCAAATGAAAAATTCAGATGGCTAGAAAATTTTGGTAAAATATTTGGGTTCACCAATAATCATGGAAATGCAAACTAAAACACATAATTCCTCAGTATCAAATTAAGACTTTTCAAATTTTGTAATATTAACAACTTGATAGTGGCATTCCCAACTAGTAGGATTACAAATAATCTATATACCTTTGGGAAACAATTCTTCAGTCTCATCAAAGCTATAAAGTTCATTTCCTTCACTTACTGTCAGGTAATCCACCCTAAGGAAATAGTCAGAAAAACATTAATCTTAATGTATAAAGATGTTTTGGCGATGTATCAAAAATTTACACCCAAAAAATCTCATCTGTTTACCAGTTGGGAAATGGTTAAATTAGGGCTTAATCAGTTACAGTCATTAAAAACTATGTATATGAAGAATTTTAACAAAATAGGGAAATTACCACAATAAGTAAAATAAGTAAAAGTGGGTTTTAAAAATTTTATATACTGTAGGTTTGCCATCAGGTAAAAATACATCAAGACAGTAAGGAAGTATTAAATACCAACAGTGGTTTTCTCTAAGTGGTAGGTTTTTTTCCCCTTTAAAAAATATTTTCTATATAAATTTTCTGCAACAAAGCACATTTTTCTTTTGTGGTAATAAGATAAAAAACAAAATGGAACTTAATGTGATGTTTGGCTTAGATTTTTTTTTTTTTTTAAAGAGAGAGAGAGAGGGGCGCCTGGGTTGCTCGGTTGGTTAAGCGACTGCCTTCGGCTCAGATCATGATTCTGGAGTCCCGGGATCGAGTCCCGAATCGGGCTACCTGCTCAGCAGGGAGTCTGCTTCTCCCTCTCCAGCTCCCCGCTCTTGTGCTCTCTCTCTCTCTCTCTCTCAAATAAATAAATAAAATCTTTTAAAAAAAATTAAAAAAAAAGAGAGAGAGAGAGAGTGCACTAGCACAAGCAGGGGGAGGGGCAGAGGGAGAGAGAGAGAGAATCCCAATCAAGTTCTATGGGGTGCTGGGGTTGGGTGGGGGAAGTGCAGGAGTGGGGGAGGGGAATGGGGGGTTTTTGGCCTGAGCCAAAATCAAGAGTCTGACGCTTAATCAACTGAGCCACATAGGTGCCCCTGGCTTAAGTATTTCTAAAATGTGTTTGGGGTTTTTTTAATATATATACAGAGAATAACAAATTCATTAAGCTTCATGCTGACGCTATTCCAGACATCTAACACATTGACTTTGTTATTCAACAGGATGCACCCTTTATATTGTCTGGGCCACTCTCTACCGATGTGCCTTGGATATCATGATCTGGAACTCTGTGTTCCTGGGTGTCAACATTTTGCATCTGTCATATCTTTTGTACAAGAAAAGACCGGTAATTACTAAAATTCATTAATAAGGAAGAGATTTTAAAGTCAAAAAACTTTTAAAGTGCTTTGTTCAGACTTGAGAATGAACATCTAACATCTTTAGTCCCTTTAATATCATTTTTCTGATTTTGTTTATGTATGTCTGAAAGTGAAATATTTGAACACCGTGAATTTTGTTCTACAAATGAGTCTTTTTAAAAGATGTATTTATTTATTTTAGAGGGAGAGTGCAGGCAGGAGGGGCAGAGGGAGAGGGAGAGAGAGTCTTAGGCGGACTCCACACTCAGCACAGAGCCCACGCAGGGCTCCATCCCACGACCCTGAGATCAAGACATGAGCCGAATCCAAGAGTCGGGCGCTCAACCAACTGTGCCACCCAGACACCCCTACAAATGAGTTTTTTAAACTTTTTACCTCATTAAGACAATTTAGACATGAGAGGACATTTTTCATCATAGAACTTCATTATTTCTTCTGTCTATTGATATTTAAATGTCACTTGGAAATATCTTTGCCCAGCTGTAAAATTAATTACTCACAGGCAACTTCCTTGAACATACTAATGATTTACAAATAGTTCCTGCTATTTTGTAAATGTAATGACTTTATTTTTTTCTCTTTATGCCCAAAATTTTCATTTAAGGAAATCGTCATTTAGGGAGGGTTTTGCCAAAACATTAGTATTTAACTTTTTTTTTCAACTCTGATTTATCTTCTTGTGTTTCTGGTCATTCTAAGACCAAAAAGATGTAAATAGGATAAGAAAGCTGTGTGACTTCTAGAAATCCTTCCCCACATTGTTTACTAATGGTTCAAAGTACACACAATTATTCAGTAAGGTAAAGGGCCTCATCTTATATTCAAAGCCAGACATGTGCACAGAAAACTATTAGAAAACAAGACATTTCACAGGAAACAATAATTTGAATGATATAAATGATACATGTAATAGGCATTCTACTAGATTGTAACCTCCTCAAACGTTGCCACCCAGTCTGTTTTGCTTACTGTATTAGTTTTCTCTAGGTTACCCCGTGTAATAAACAACCTGAAAATCTCAGTGACAAATAACAGTGACAGGCCCTTTTTCTCACCCACCTTATAGGTGGGCTCTAGCAATTGTGTGTCAACTGTGATTCTGTGCTGTGTCTTCATTTCAGGGTCTCTGCTGAAGCAGCAGGTTCTGGTTAGACATGCATTCTCATGGCAGAGAAAGAAGTACAAGAGAACAAAAGAGAAAGACCTGGTGTCTCTTAAAACTTCTGCACAGAAGGAGCATACGTCACTTTTGCTCACATTCCATTGGCTAAAGCAAATGACATGGTCAAGCGTGATAGTGTGGGAATAGGCTGGGGTAAGGGGATGGATAATGCTTTTACAGGGGATGGTAGCAGCAAATAGTTGGGAATGATAATATCATCTCCCACCTTACAGTTGTGTCCCGCGTTCCTGTCAACCATGATTGTCACATAACGAGTGCTCAAAAAAATATTTGATGAGTGACTGCTTTCACAAGAAGAATTAAGAAGGCTTCATGAAGGAATTGGGACTTGAGTTAAGACTTGCAGAATGAGCAGATTATGAATTTGAGTCAATAGATCTTTCAGTTCCTGTGTTCATTACCAGGCCACATTGGCTAGTGTGTATCTTGAAAGTGGGACATATTTGTGAATAAACTCTTTTAAACACTCGTTACTAGCACTCTGAAGTAGAAGAGGTGGATGGTGGTGATAATGAGGATTACAATTTCTGAATATCAGAACTTGCTGGAACCCCAAGTTCTGAACATAAGGTTCAGAAGTTGCTGATGTGATGATGGTAGTAGCATCAAGTAAAACACCCACACAGTATCTGTGCTTTTGTTTCTTCTCACATTATAAGCCTACTTTTTTGAAAAATATAAATGCTGGTTCTTTGTTAAAATGAAAGACTGCAAGAGCATTGCAAAGGCTATAGTGACGTCTGAGTGGTTATCGTTTTCTGGATCTATAAGCTTTATGGTGTGACTGTCAGAGATTTCATTGGGATGGACGATCATTTGAACCCCAAAGTTCATTCACCTGCTATACAGTTTTCCCAGACTAATGCTGGGCCCAAATATGGCGTGTGATCTGGGTCTTGTCTGACAGCAGAGGTGATTCAGCCATTTTGCTTTTCCCTTCCTCCAGTAGCCAGACTTAATTCTGTGGGTTCTCATTCTACAGAGTAGTTTACTTTAAGATGAAATTGCTGCACAGAAACCCTTTTACTCTCTTCACTTGGCTTCAGAATAAATAAATCAGAAGCAATGATTGCAGCTGTGGATGTTTGTTTTCCTAAATTGATGTATTAAACAATACTTACAGTAGGCAAAATGCCTAATGCATGTATTTTCATAAATTTTTCCCAAGTTGATTCCTACTTTATGTGTTTATTGTTTTGCTATAACATTGAAAAGTTCACGTAATTTCTTTCTGTGAAACAAAATTGTTATAAAGACAAAAATGTTTCGTGTTATTTATAGGAAATGCTAAGATTGGAAAGGTCTATGTTGTGGTTAACGTTCAAAACCTCCACAGCTGTTCTGCAGCGCATGGGAAGAGATGTGATCAATAGTGCAAATCTTTTCCATATGCTCTTGGAGTTGTTTAACTGCAAAAGTGCCCTTTGAGCATCTAAACTTCTGTCCCCACTTCCTGTCTGGGTACAAGTCCATTGACTGAAATGCAGAAGGGCCACGGTGCGTCTTGCAGATTTGTTTCTTCTCAAACCTGTATTGAGACGGCAGAAGCCAGTGTTTCGCTGTTGCTGTGTTACGGCAGCATCCGGTCATTGCTGCATTTCAGGTAAAGATTGAGAAGGAGCTCAGTGGCATCTACCGCCGATTGTTTGAACCACTCCGTGTGCCTCCAGATCTGTTCAAAAGATTAACCGGCCAGTTTTGTATGATCCAAACCTTAAAAAAGGGCCAGACGTATGCTGCAGAGGATAAAACCTCAGTTGACGACCGTCTGAGTATCCTCCTGAAGGGGAAGTAAGTGCTCTCCGGAAATTGAAATTCCCAGTTCGCCTTGAATCTTCACATGTCCCCTGGGTAGGAAATGACTAGAAGGGAATGATACAGATCATCAGGTCACAGAGTTTGTTGGTGAAATCCCATGTTACAACTGTATTTTCGAATACTACCGAGTAACAGGTTAGAGTTACATAGAATTGACTACTCTGAATCTTGTGGATGTTAGGATTTCCACCTGTGAACATTTTGAACTTTTATTGACCCTTTTTTTAAAGTTAATGAGTCAACATTGAAGTAGGTTTGAGTTAGGCATTAAACTTCCAGAAGCTTGTGCATGTTTCACAGGTGATTTATTTTTGAATATCACAAAAACATAACTTCTAGGAATATTAGCCTTCTGAGGAGAGAGCCAGTATATACTGTTCTGACATAATTATTAATATCAGCCCTTTCCTTCTCAAAAGTATCTGATTTTGAGTAATAAATTTATGGTCACTCTAGCTATATGAGCAGTGATAACCATTGGAAGGCACATGTCTGCTCAATAGTGGAACCTGTCTTTTTTTTTTTTTCTTGTTGGTGAAATTTATATTGAAGTAAATATTTATGCTTTGAATTATGTTTGTCCTCTGTGGAGTCTTTAAAACTTTAGTACAAAATACCAACCCATTAGATTAAGGATCGTCATGTTATTTGTGGAAATATTATGCATTTATTAACATTAATTTCTGTTATCAGAATGAAGGTTTCCTATCGAGGACATTTTCTGCATAACATTTACCCCTGTGCCTTTATAGATTCTCCTGAATTTAGATCAACTCAGATGCACAAAGGTGAAAAATTCCAGGTATGTTTCATCATGATTTTCAGAAGATTGGAACTAGTTCGTGTCTCATTTGATATTCAGAAGATATTAATAGAAAAGGGATTTATTGAAAAAAGAGATTTCCATATGGTACATATAGCATGATCCCATTTTCATAAAACTTAAACAAAATAGTATCTATGCATACATAAAAAGAGGTCTAGAAAGATATATCCTACTTTGGCCGTAGTGTTAACACTTATTTCTAGGTTGTGAGTTTGACTGTTTTTTAATTTTCTTCCTTTTGGTTTATTGGAATTTTTATAATTTTTCTGTAGAAAACATATAGTGCTTTGATTATGAGAAGAAAGGAAAATGTCAGCTGTGGATAATCAGTGTTCCTAAAACATGTAATTCGTTACTTTTGTTGGGAAAAAAACAGAAGCTGGCTTTACCTTAGAGATCTTCTTTTGTTAATCCTTATGAAAAAATTAATCACTTTACTCTTTTATTTTTAATGAATTCTTTAAGGGCAAAGGATGAAGTTCTTCATAGCTGAAATTCGCTCCATTATGTGGCACTTTGTTTTGATTCTTTCTGTAAGTGTCCAGCCCTCCTATATTATTCCCCACTTGACTGATAGGAAAGTCACCAAGAAAATGGGTGAGAGTTTCCTTTGCTCTCAGCCTCTAGATAAACAGCAGTAAGGAAATAGCCTGAGAAGATCCTGAGCAAGAGTGTAAATGTATAGGTAGGAAATGGAATAGGAGGGATGTTAGCATCTGAGGGAGGAAATGTCAGTGTTTCTTGATGACACATCTTATTTTTGAGTCCCATTTTGAGGCACCATACAATTTGGGAGGCCACATGAAGATAAAAGGGAAAATTTACAGACATACGGTTGAGTTGAGTTGAGTTTATATACGATGGTTGGGGCCCTACCCCACTCCTATTCTGCCTGAGTAGCAGGTCTGATGAACCACACAACCTGGGAAAGTTATATGCATTTACTACAAGGTCTCATGTAAGTTCATTAACTGGGTGTAGTACTGTTCCCAAGCAGGCTGAGGTTAAGATACACAAGTGGAAAGCTAATGCTATCTCGTGGCTTCTCGAATTTACACTCTCACCTTGTGTTTGTGAGGGTCAGCTGTGCACTGAGACTTATGTTCTTACTGTACCACCATCTACAAACTAGTACAAAGCCACTTCTTCCCTCTCTCCTTCTTTCCTCTGCCCTCCTTACAATTTCTTCTTCCAAAGCCCATTTATCTTTTGATCCGTTTCTCTCTCTAGAGTAGCGAGGGGCGTTGCAGAATAACTCAGTCTCAATATAACCCCAAAGAGACTGGAATTTGGAGAGGGGGTGGAAACTGAGCCCCCTTCGTTTCTAGAAACAAGCGCTCCCTGAGAGGCCAGGGATATGAACAGGTACTATCTTTTCCACTTCAAATTATATTTTGATTAAGTTAACAAAAAGGAATTCCTACTACGAGCTGCAGTTTCTTCTTGGGACTAGGGGTTGGGATTTGGTAGTTGAGAAATGTTCCTGAAAATTGCTGTGGCTATTCCAAAATCATGGCCCAGATCGAGGTACCGTAGCTGGGAGAGGATATTTATTCAGCCTTTCCAACATCAGTCACCTTTTGTCTGTGCAGAGTGTGGTGTGGCGTCTTCTGATTTGTCAATGGATAAAAACTACTTTAGCATCGTGGAACCTGGGTCCTGCACAGTTGGAGCAGGCTCCATCAGAGCAAACCCTTGGGAGAGATTGTGTTTTGATTGTTTACAAAATGTTCCCATTGACAGATACTCAAGAGTAAAAATAGCCATTGCACATCTGTGTAGAAGTACATAGTGCCTCTTGCTGAAGCAAGTTCCCAAATGAAACATGCCACCCACTCTAACGTCTCACTACCTGTGCGCATAGCAGAGGACATTTGAAAATGTCAGTGGTCAGACTTCCCCACCTCCATGCTTTTCACCTGCTAGTCTCGTTTCTCTTTAATTCTGAACAATTAAAAGTGTTCTGACAAGGAGCTCCTTCCTTCAAATTTTTATTTCTTTAAATCATCTTTGGTAGAATAAGGTGGAAGGAGAAAAGAAAGGCAAGTGGGCCCAATGACCGTCTCTCGAGATTGAACAGCAAATGCCGTTTGGGTATATGTGTGACAGTTACGACAGGCACAGTGACCGGGCTGAGAAACCAATTGTGAACTTGGACTCCCAGATGCCTGAGAGGCGCTTATAGCCATCTTGGTACTTACCCACCAAAGTTGCTGCTTAGAACTCTTGATAGAACCTTGGGTATCTTTATTACAAAAGGTGGAAGTAGTCTTTCGTGTTTGCTTTCTTTTTCTTTGTGCCGTTGTTTTATGTCAAGTGAGCTTTACCATTTTCCCATTTATCTTTTGTATTCTATCTCCCACTATTGCTTGCCCCTGGTTGGTTGCACGTCCTGTGCTGTGAAGTCTGAAACCCAAAGCTTTATTGACTTTAAGGGAAGAAGAATGTCTTGGAGATCCCAGCCCTCATGAAGTAAATGAGCATTAAATTTCCACCTGTGCTTAAACCAAACCTGATCTTGGTGTTAAGTAAATCTTTTGGTTAAGCTGTGAAGCACTTTAATCGGCCAACTTTGATCCTACTGTGTATTAGTGCTCTGGAGAACTCTAAGCATTGGTTGAATAGAGCAGTCCTAGGACATTTTTGTGTTCCTGAAGTGCGAAATGTTATACAATACATGAAGAAAATAACAAATCCTCCCCTGAGGACAGTCAACCAGTCATATTGTTGAGCTGCTCTTGCCAATCCTGACACATTTGGCAATTCTCTCAGACACCCTTGTTCTTGTGTAATGTCTTCCCATTCTGTGAAGGTGTAGAATCTAAAGGGAGGGACAGGCCTAGTGCCTTGACGTAATCAAGGCAAACCTGATCACAAACACTTAGTCCAGTTCTCTCACTGAAAGAAATCCTTTTGTATCTCCCAGTGCCATGTTTGCTTTTATTTCCTCAGTAAAATTCTCCAGAGCTGAAGCATGGCACTGCTGAGGTACCCTAATGACTTAAGAAGCAAATTTATTTTACAGAAGCTTTAAAAATTCTTATATTGCTTTATAGAAATTCCTCATTAAAATATGTTTTACTTGGCTGTTGTGACAGGAAATCATTAAACACAAATGTCTGTTTGGCAGAAATGAAGCATTAGCCATCGTGTAAAATGACCTCGGTCAATATGCTAACTCCATACTTCCAATTAAATGCCTGCACTTACGGACTTGCAAGTTACTCGTACATACTGTAGGTATAGCTTATTATTTGAATACTGTTGTTAAATCTAAATTTAATAATAATTTAAACAGGTTTAAAGTATTTTTCAACCATCAATAAGAAATGTATTTGTTAAGCAAATGATAGTATCAAAGTGTCATTTCCTCTGTGGAAACTTGAGGTTACTGGAATGGTTGAAAAGAAGTTAAATGCATTATGTGTCACCTAGGTACAATTCCTTTTTCTCCTGGATGACTTCCAACTCCTCTTTTAACTTCTTCCCCCATTGCACATGGCTTATATGTGCACGGATGACCTCTTTGCCAAATGAAGGCACCTCCAACTCCTAACCCGTTCTTCAGTGCTTGGTTACAGGTCTATGCCATAGCGAGTACCAATGCTCACCTTTCTCAAATTATTCCTGTAGAATATTATTCAGCTGTCTTGCATTTATTTACCCATCTCAGTATTTCTGGTAACTCCTCAGTACTGACTTGACCTTATACTTCTCTTCTTAAAAAAAAAAAAATTGGGGGATAGTGAGGGTCAGATGTCTTTACTAATAAGTAAAGATCAGCTTCCTCCACTAGAATGTAGGCTTCATGACATTGTGTTCTGCAGTTCTTTGTATGAGGGACTCTTGATGGACTCTGAGCCGACCTTGTGGTCACTTAGCCAAATTACTTTCAATGTGATCGTGTTGCTGAATATTGGACACATTGGGTAGGGTTTGGCTTGGTGGGAAAATATGTCTGGGCTGGAAGTCAGAAGTACTCACTCCACCACTAATCAACATGTATTCATGAATAAGTTTTTGGCTCTTGTCATTTGGCATCTGAAAAATGAGGAAGAATATTACTTGCCTTATCTGAAAGGCAATTTTGAGGCACTTACAGATTAAAAACACCTAAATGTTTAAAAGTGCGATACATATGTAAAGTGAGTGGGTATTATGTGTAACTCTCACTCCCTGGAGATTCTCTACCACATGCCCCTGTTCTATATTTGTCGAAACACTTATTGCCACCTGAGGGTATTGTATTTTTTTATTTATTATCAGCTTCCTTCACTAGAATGTAAACTTCCCAGGGCAAAGCTCTTGTCTTCCTTGTTCACATTATAATGTCAGTGCCTTTGAAAGTGTCTAGCATGAAGTAAGTGCACAATGTATGTTGAAAGAATGAGTAGAAATTAGTTTTTTATGGAGTCATAGAGCGGGCGATGCCTTTCTTGAATCCAAATGTGTTTGTTTTGTAGATTCCTACTCTTAATATAATAAATAAGTGCAAAAATTTTTTTCCAGGAATACTGACCCACTTTTTTAAGTAGCCAAACCCTGTAATTTGCTAAAGGTCAATTTTCAGCTATTGATATTAGTTGCGAAGCTGGGTTTTCCATTTTCTCTTTTAGTAGACATAAATACCCCCTCACCCTCAAAACTAGGTTTAATTTTGTGACAAGCCAAGGGGAAATGGTGCCTTTGGAAATATTTGCTCTGAGGCTCAGATAAAGATTTCATGTTAATTAAAAAACCCTTTATGAATTTACTTGGGCAGGCATTGGGCTTAACATTGAGGATATAAACATGGATTTTTGCCTTCAACAGTATTTGTGTTCATTTGTTAATTCCTTTGTATAATAAATGTACACTGAGCACCACTCTGTGTTGGAAGCTGGGCATTCAGACATGAAGATGCAGAGTCCCTGCCCTCAGAGTGCCCGGTGGAGACAGATATGTCCCCAGATGAGTGTGGGTTCAGTGATTTGAGTGCCACATGGAGCTCAGCGGAGGAGTACTCATTGATGACAGGGGACCTGCATGGGAGGAAGGGCTTCCTGACACTGAGTTGTGAGGGCATAACTCCTCACTCTGGAGAAAGGATTTATTTGAAGAATATTGAGTTCTGTGCAGTGCAATTACAGGGTTTTCCAGTTCCCTGTGGAACAGTGCTCAAGGAAAAAATATGGTTTCCCAATTCTGAGCTAACTGGGGGATCTCTGTGTGAATCCCCAGTACGCTGGAGCTAATCCTGAAAGGTCACATTCAAGAAATACCTATGACAAAAGGACCGAGAGGAGACCCTCACTAGCCATATTCCTCAGTTAATAGCCTGGATTCTAAAACCAGTTCACATGAGTCCGTTTTCTCCTTCTCTAGTACGTGTTTGCAAGGCTGGCTAGCAGAAGGTCCTTCATCTATAACTCACCTCAGGGATCTTACCTCAGTTCTTTTTCCTGAAGCCATATTCTTAAACCTCTGTTGTAATCATCAGGGTATAAAGAAATATTTAACCATAAATTATATGTCTAATTGGAACATTGGTCTAGTACACTCTGTAGCACCAGACCTCACACCAGACCTCACAAAACAGAACAACAACAAAACTTGGAGAAGTTGCTTTTGGTCTGCAGATTTCTTGGTTTTAAAATGATTTTAAATATGGTTTTACAATAGCTATAGAAGCTTGTGTGTATAGATCTTGCTTTAATTTAACTAATATGACAAATCATTGCTGTAACAATATCCACTAAATTATTCTACTCTTCTTTCCCCAAAATTATTGTAGTCATAACTCATAAACATAGATATACTTTTTTCTTTCTATGTCTGTCTCTCGGGCAGGTCACCATCATTGCAGATGATAACTGCAGATTTTTATGCTGGTCAAGAGAAAGATTAACTTACTTTCTGGAATCAGAACCATTTCTATATGAAATATTCAGGTATCTTATAGGAAAAGACATTACAAATAAGCTCTACTCATTGAATGATCCCACCTTAAATGATAAAGTAAGTACTTTTTCTGAGCGTGTTTATTTTGCTAAACAATTCTGTATAGTGAAGTATACCTCACTTTATGCAATATATATTTTTCTGAATTTTCATTTATTCATCATATGTTAAGTAAGGTGGGGATGCTTGTAATTTAGAGACCCTCCAAGGGAATCGTTTCTCAAGAGCATGGAAATATTTTGTAATTATTATATTTGTCATTACCTAGTGAGGTGTCTGTAAATGTCAGGGACCTCCATTTGTGATGATGTGGTGCTGATCTCTGATAAAGAGTCTTTTAATCAATCTAAGGAAGATGGTACACAAGTTGGAGGCATGGATCGGGGACGAGGAGGTCAGGAAGGTAGGGTAGCGGGAGGCTGCAGACTGAAAAGCACTGGCAAACTCCAGTGAGCATGAAGTTGGCATTTTAGCGCTGGTGTCCTCCAGTTTTGGACATCCTTCTTGTCAAGCCCCCTTCCAGAAAGCCCATAAGTGACAAGAGAGAGAGGGGAGGGAGCCTGTGGTGATTCAGTCAGGAATTTCAGAGCCGTATGGATCTTCTCCAGTTTGCAATGTGATCTTCATTTCCCCACATGTGCATAGAAGGAAATTAAAATGATGACAGAAGAGAAATTGCAGACCATTGTTTCTGTGATAAGTACCGTTCTCCAGAAACTATGCACATGGGTGTGTGCTCTCTTAAAGTCCTCTTGTCTAGGCCGTTTATCAAATCAGGGTGGTGCTTATTCAGATTAATAAATAAGCTACTGAGTGTATTAAATTTTTGTAATGTATGTGTAGTGATAGCTTATAATAAAAGTTATAGCTAACATTTATTGGCCACTTACTCTGTACCTGGTAGTTTTTTATTTCAAGGAAAAACTAAATGCTGTTTACAGGGAATATATGACCTAAGTTCCATAGATCTCAGAAATCTTAAACCTTTGCTTTGTAGAAGGCCAAAAAGTTGGAACACCAGCTCAGCCTGTGCACACAGATCTCCATGCTGGAAATGAGGAACAGTATCGCCAGCTCCAGTGACAGTGATGATGGTTTACACCAGTTTCTTCGGGGCACCTCCAGCATATCCTCTCTCCGTAAGTTATCCCAGACTGAGAGTCCTCCAGGATTCCGCCGGATGTCATTGGAAATAGACAAATGACAACCGTGATCAGAAAAATAGCTTGGCAAGGAACAATTGGGCAACCCCAAGGTATCAGCAAAAGTAACAATTTTTTCTCGCTTTTCCTTGTCCATGTTGCCCCTCAGCTAAAAATCCAACATGAGAGCTCTTATCCCTCAGTCCGAATTGCAGAAATTGTTGGCTTGTTTTGCCGCACACTCTTCTTAAATACTGGTTCACTGAGATAATGTGAAAGAGTCCATATGGTCTGCTGGGTATTCGGCTTTGTTGCTTTCATGATTTTAGTTCAAGTGAAAGCCTAGACCCAGCAATGGGAATGAATGAATGAATAAATAAATAAATAAATAACACAAAATAACCCCTTTTATTGGTGAAGATTTTATTGGCACACTGTGGTGGTAAAGCAGACAGGAAGCAGGAATTCTTGACTGTTGCTCTCTGGAGATGATACGTGTACAACCTCTACGGAAATATGACCTGTCTATTTAAAATTTAATGCACACACCTTTTGACACAGAAATGTCCCTGCTAGAGTTTTACCCTATGTATATGCTCTTTGACAAATGATACCGCATTAAGTGCTGTTCATTCCCGCATTTTTCCACAATTGTAAAATTCTGGGACAAACCTAAATATCCATTGGAAATAAAACTGGTAAATAAAATTTTGGTAAAAAAGAAAATGATGGGAAATAACTGCTGGGTGTTTTACTGCTGACTGGTTATCTCAGTGTGAGCCCCAAGAGTTAACAGGTGACTGGGTGATAGAATGGTCCTGAAGATGAAGGAGACCACCCAACACCCAACACCCCTGTGAGTTACCTCATTCACACACACACCCACTGAGAGGCAAGTTTTCCAAGATTGTCCTATGGGTTAGATCATTTTAAAACATTTTAAGTAAGGAACATTTTAAGACACAGAAATTTGAAGATTAGTAAGTGAAATGAGAGAAACTAAATTATTTTAAGAATTATTCCAAGAACAATAGTATGAGAAGAACTTTGAACAAATTCATTTGAAGTAGCAAAAAGTCAGTCAGATTCTCCCATTGCATAAAATAAAAAAACTATTAATGTTTCCAATTGTATGTTGATCCGAAGAAACTTTTAAGGAAATACAGGTACACATTCAACAATCCTAAATGTTTATGTAAATTATCTTGTAACTTTGGATGCTTTAGATAAATTGGATTAAGGATGTTAAGTATTACATAGTGTAGAGAGGTTGGAATTGGCAAAGCAATGTAATGGGCGTAAACTTCCAAAGCAAAGTCTAGGCATAGAAATGTGTTGTGGACCCAAAGGAGATTTCAGGAGTAACACAAATGAGAAATGGGAGATGGCTGTATCTTATTCTAACATAACTTTTGAAAGTACAGACTGAGGCTGACCAAACTCTGCAATCTGCTGACATATCAAATGCATTATCTTGTTGAAACAGTTTGGTGGTTACTAAGCATTTTCAAGTGGACCCATCTTAATTGCATGTATTGTAATTACTATACTAAGAAAGGTCAGCAGAAAGGGAATTAAACAATAAGTTTTTGTTTTTCTATAGTATTTTATTGTATAAGCCAAGTCTTTGGGGAGTAAAATAACATTTTAGAAAAAAAAGTTTAAGAGTGTGTTGTTTAACTAGAATAAAAACACATTTTCTAGATGAACATTTGTCCTGTTTGTGCCACCAGAAACCTATATTACCGGGTGGATTGATCACCCATGTTGTACATACAGGCCTGGGTTCAAATCTTGCACTAATGATTATTAGTTGTGGATCTAGTCAGTGTGGGTTTGAGTGTGGGTATGTGTGAATTGTGCAACAAAGCCCTGCTCATACCCAATTCCCTTTCACTAATCCCTGTTCTGAGTTTCTTGGCTTCACTTCCTGCCGTTTAATGAAAGACATTGGTCCTTGAGCACCGCACTGATATAATTATGAATTATTTAATTCATCCTAGCATGTGATTCATCAAAGACTAGTTGGTTCTGGTTTCTCTTTCTTAGGTTTTAGCTCAGAACTGAAGTCTGAGGCTTCTGTTTGTTTTGTTTTGTTTGCCAGGGCCATCAATACGCTGTCTACTTGCCCATACTACAGATGACATTTCTTGTAAAACAGAGAATACAGAACCAGTCTCGTAAGACTATTAGGCTGAAGTAACAAAACTTACCACTTTTGGAGCATGTGGGAAGTCTTAGTAAATGCGAGGTCCCTCAAACGAGCGAGCTCTTTCCATTCTGGGTTTCGACTGGCCCTGGGGGGCGACTATGGCGGTTCCTCTCAGCGGTGGAGGCAGCTTCATGAATGCTAAGGAGAGAAGGGGACAAACCTTTATGGACAGTAGTCGCTATTATTTCTCAGGAACTCTGGACGTAAGCACATGTAGTCTTTAAACCTGCGCGGAGAGCTATGCTGGTTTTTGCTGGATGACACCGCACCACCGGCTTCCCGGATCTCTGGCTGTGACCAAGAGGCTGCTTTCTCGCGCATGTGCACGCTGCGTGCTACTCCAGGCCCATGTCCCCCTTCGCCTGGGATGCCAAAGAGTCCCCCTCGGTCTGGGATGCAAAAGAGCAGCCCATATTCGGATGGCTGCCATTCGGGGCAGAGGAAAAGACAGTGATGGCAGAATTATGTGTCGGCTCTGAAAGCTCCCACTTAGCAGCAGCGCATGCGGGGCGCCTGGGTGGCTCAGTCGTTAAGCGTCTGCCTTGGGCTCAGGTCATGATCCCGGGGTCCTGGGATCAAGTTGTGTTGGGCTCCCTGCTCGGCGGGGAGCCCGCTTCTCCCTCTGCCTCTGCCCTGCCCCCTCCCACTGGTGCCCTCTGGCTCTGTCAAATAAATAAACTAATAAAAACTTAAAAAAAAAAGAAGCAGCCCGTGCCACCTCCTCTCACGCCCACTGGATCAGAGGGGTCACTTGGCCAGAACCACCATCAGCAGGTGGATCTTTAATCCTCCTGCAGGGGCTGAGCAGGAAGGGGCCTGAGGAAGGAGGGAAAGCAAGTATTTTGACAAGAACATGGATCTACCTTAGTGAGTATTACTGCATTTTACACCTGAGAAAATTAGGACTATGGATGCTTATTCACTTGTTCCAGTTGCACAGGGAGAGGCTCTGGGATACAGAGCTAGGTGTCCTGTCCGATCCATGCTGTTTGACCATATTGCCTCTTGGTTTTAAAAAGAAAAGACAAAAAAATGTACATAACATTTGATTAGTGCTTTATAGTTTACAAGTTACTTTCACACCCATTCCTGCATTTACACCTGACAAGTCTGTCAGCAAGGCACATTCACTATTATTATTATTTACCCCTTTGCGGATGAGTCCACCTGTACTCAGTACACAAATCACTTCTTTCTCCTACAACCTACCTCATTGGAGAAACTTACCCCCCCACACACCCCATTCCTCCATTATGACCAAGCAGTGCTGCAAATAGGTTTTCACAGACCCGTTGATTTCCATTTCAATGAAAATTTTTGCCTTATTCATTGTATGGGGGCAGGGGGGGGCGGTTCTACATAGGAGCATTTAAATTATCCAGTAATGTCCTCCGGTCATTTAGCATTTGGTTAGCTTTCACTTCGCCTCATATGTCCTTCCAGAATTACAAGCAATGCTGCTCTATAAGAATTATATTTATTTTATATATTTTCCTAATTAAACAAGTTTTACATTATTCATTCTAGTCATCAACTCAAATACAGAAGTAGATTTAAATATTAAAATCCATATCAACATTTCCCATAATTATTTTTCAAATCAGGATCAGCATGTACCCATTCCATTTGGTTGAAAAGTCTCTGAATCTCTGGGCTCCCCTTCCATCTCTCTTTCTGTGTGTGTGTGTGTGTGTTTGCATTTTTGTTTTGTTTTGTCTTGTTTTGTTTGTCCTGTAGAAACTTGATTCTTAAATGTAATTGTGCATATGAATCACTTGGAGATTTTATTACAAATTCTGATGCAGAAGACTGGGGTGGGACCTGGCGTCCCCCTGATTAACAAGTGCCCCAGGGGTGCTGATGTGGCTGGCCCCTGAACCATGCTCTGAATAGTGAGGAGTAGGAGTCCCTCCCTACAGTCTGGAATTTTGCTGAGTGCAGCCCCATGGTGGTTGCTTGTATTTCCCATTTACTGGTAGGTAGATCTCCAGGCTTGCGTAGATTCTGGTGAAGGCACGAAAAGAGATTGCTGCCGATCCCATTTCTTACGTTGTGCTCTATTTTTTACGTATATCACATGATGCTAAGTCCAGAGCCAGATCTCTACTCTTTGCTGCACAGACTCTGTATTCCACGTCAAATTATCATCTGAAGACAAGAAAGTAAACTAATGAGATAGTCCGAGAAAAATTGCTTCCTTCCTAATTATTCAGTAGCCCATAATCCACTTAGCTCCTTTTCACTTTCCTGTGGCTTCATTTACTTGTTTCGTGTTTGGAAGCGTGATTGTGAGGCAGAAGGACCAGAAAGGACGGGCCGTGCTGGGCATGTGGGAAGGATTGCGTGCCCTTTTGTGGCTATAAGCTCTCCTCTCTGCTTCTGCCCCGAGGTGCTCATCAGACTGCCTTGCCATCTCCTCCTCCTTATGAGGTTTAGCTCCTACGTGTGCTGTAGAAAACACACACGCATACAGATTGATCGGACTTGGCAGGTGCATCACTGACAAGCAGTCCCGGGCACAGGCGTCGTCATGGCAACGGGAGGCCATATTCTGTTTCCTTAAAAGTTGTAGAACTTTATTTTAGTTAATTTGGGTTAAATAACCTATTGTTGTGGTTGTTTTTTTTTTTTAAATCCTGAGGTTTTATAGGCAATGCATTCTGTTGGAACTCGTCTTTGAAAGCTTTTGTTAGTTTAAACCATGTATTTTTTTCAGAAATTATAATTAAAATGTATGACTTTTAAAGACACTATGAAATTTTTTTTTTTTAAAGATTTTATCTAT